GCTGAGTGATCTACTTTAAAGTTCTTTTAATTTGTTTATTTTTTTCTTTAACTAGGTAGGTAACTATATATTCTATTCTTTTTTAAAACTTTTTTAAAAGTTATACTTTGTGTCTTTCACATCATGTATCTCGATCCCATTCATTTCCTATCTCTTCATATCCACCCTCTGTTCTTGCAAACCCTCCCCCAATAAATAAAATTTAAGAGAAAAAGGGGGCGGGGAGGGAAAAATCTCATCATGGAAGCTGCAGTGTGATACAGCGAGTCCCACAGTAAACCCTTTTATCCATATAGCTTTGCTTGCAAGTGTTCACTGCGGAGTCATCGGTCTGGTTTGAGGCCTCCGGCTTCTGCTACACTATCCATGCTGGGTTCTCACTTGACTCCTCTTGGACATCCTGCTGTTGCCCTGTGTTGTGGAGATCCTGAAGCTTTGGGTCTGCAGGACTTGCCCCTTCATGTGCTCCAGCAGATCACAGATGGGGTGGACATTTAGAAGGGCCAACTCATAACCCTGGTTCTGGGCTTGCAGGGTTGGTCAGCCCACCAGCTCTCCCTTGTCTTCACCTCTAGGGGGAGCTCTCCAGCATTGCCCTGGCTAGTGCACCCCTTGCAGAGATGAGCAAGGGGCGGGATCAGTTCTCCTTCATTCACACCCTCAAGGTCAGCTCTCCCTCACCTACACCATCAGGGCCAGCTCTACTGTGTTGCCCGGTGAGGTACAGGGGCCACCCTCCCAAGTGCTGCAGCTGGTGAGAGACAGGGACATCTCCCCTGCTCTTATGTCCTGAGGGCCAACTCTCCTACCTGCCACAGGCAGTGAGGGCACCTCTCACCTGCCCACACCACTATATGCAGATGAGAAGCAGGGCCATGTACTTTCTCCTCATAGCCTGGGGTAGACCACCCAAGGCCTGTATGGGTCTCTTTGCCCCACTCATCCCCTCATGCTCTGAGCAGATCTGCCATGCTCCCATTCTCCCATTCTTAGGGTGGCTCACCTGTGCCTCCGTCAACAAGGTCAGCTCCTCTGTGCTGCCCATAAGAGGTGCAGGGCCCACTTTCCTGAGTGTTGCAGCTGGTAAAGGGGAGGGTCACTCCCTCACCCACCTTAGGTGACAGAGACAAGGGGGGAGGTCATCCTTCCCTTGCCCTCACCACCACATGGCAGATGTGGCCAGCTATCCCAATCTTAAACCCTCAGGGCCAGCTCACCTGTACCTCTCCCTACAGGGCCAGCTCTACTGTGCTACAAGGTCAGCATCTACCCAGATGAGGTACAGGGCCAGCTTCCTGGGTGTTGAAGCTGGTAAAGGGGAGGGCCAGCCCCCTCACCAGCCGGAGGCAGTAGGGCGAGGGGGGAGGTACCAGCTATGCCCCTCTCTCATGCCCTCAGGGCTGGCTCAGTCACATCTCAGTCTACAGGGTCAACTCTACTGTGGTGCCCAGGTAAGGCCTAGGACCCATTCTCCTGAGTGCTGTAGCCGGTAAGGGGTTAGGTCAGTTCCCCTACCTGCTGCAGGTGTCAAGGGGCGAGGGGAGGAGGGCATCTTTCTCTCACCACTACGTGGCAGATGAGAGGAGCGTGGCCTGCTCTCCCATTCTCATGCCCCCAGGGCCAACTCGCTCATCCCCCTGCAAACAGGGCAACTCTACTGTGCTGCCCAGGTGAGGTGTGGGACCCTCTCTCCTGAGTGCTTCAGCTGGTGAGGGGCTGGACCAGTTCTCCCTAGTACTGCAGCCAGTGAGGGCCAGTGCCAATGCTCTATAGCTCTATTCTCTCAGCCTTCGCTGGTATCAGGAGCCACTGGCAGACCATGGCTGCATCAGGGCCATGAACCCAGATATGGGCCCCAGCAGCAGCCCAGGTCCAGGCATCACCATGGCCCTGGGTGGCAATGAAGCCGCCCACCTCAGCCCGCTCCTCACCACGTTCCCCTCTTCAGATATGCCTCTGTCCATGGGAAATGAACCATTCTGTCTCTCTGTCTCCCTAATACCACACCATACATTTGCACACCATAACAGTGCCCTTCTGCCTGGTGCCATAAGGCACCAGGTGGGCCCATGGTTTCTCCTCAGAGCCTGGGGTAGACCACTCAAGGCCTACGTATGAGTCTGTTTGCCCCATTCAGTCTCTCATGACTCTAGGCAGGAACATGCTTCCTCCTGGGATCCCAGGGCTGTATACCCTGTGCCCGTGTGTGGGGCTCTCTGCCCCACTCAGTCTGCCATCTATACATTTTATTCTTATAAACATTCTTCCTAGGTTATATATCCTTAACATTTAGAATGTGTACTTGAAATCTGACATCACTTATTTCTACCTTTTCCTGATCTGTTCAAAGTCTTTATAATGTGTTCAGATTGGCATGTCCCTCCCAAATCTGGAAAGCTTCCATTCTTTGTTAAACTGAGCCATATGAATATTTAATACTTATAAGCCTATAAAATGGTAACTCTTAAAAATAATATTTCCCATTATCTTGTGGGCCACAAGAATATATTATAGAGATTTAGCTGTGTATTAAAGCTATACTTTGACCGGCCAAGGGTCTGTCAAAAGGCAAGCCATTTATCATGGAATATTTGGTGTTATCCAGTTTTTAATATTTCAGATGTCTTCTGCCATGAAATTCTTGTGTTCCCCAATACTATAGACCATTTGGCCAACAGCTAAGCTCAGATACTGTTCCACTAGGTAACTAACTCCCCCGTTGGGTCTAGAAGAAGGCTCCTAGATGTACAGCCTTTTATCTTGTGCAAATGAAGCTCAGACCATCCCCTTCCCTCAGGCTAGGGGCATGGCAGAGAAACTGACTGAGGACAGTAGGAATTCTCACATAACCAGGTACAGTAAGGACTGGAGCGGAATTCCAGAGGCAGACACAGAACTGTGTGGCCAGAGAGAGCAGAGGAAGACTTGACCTAGAAGAATAAAGTGAATGGACTAAAGAACTCAGCGTGCTTACATTCATTTGATATCCCTCAGTTAGAATCCTTAGCCGCTTGTAGCATCTGTTCTGGACCTTGATAGAAATCTCCTCAAGGCAGGCACTTGGGGGGAATTCGTTACCTTAAAACAACATCTTAGTTGCATTTTATGTTTGTTTATTTATTCTATTTTACTTATTTTAATGTGAATGGATATGTTGCCACATGTATGTCTGTGTACCACAGGTGTATCTAGAGTCCTTGAGGTCAGACAGGGCATAGGATCCTCTGGAACTGGAGTTACAGGTGATATGAGCTGCTATGTGGGTACTCAGGCAGGAATCGAGGTCCTCTGAAGAACGTCTCAGCTCCTAATTGTGCCATCCCTCCAGCTCCTTTTATTTCTTGCTTTGAGATGGGGACCCATTAAGTTGACCAAGCAGGTCTCAAACTTCTGTTCCTCCTGCCTTACCTCCTGAGAAGCCAGGAGGAAAGACCTTGCCACCAGGCCAAATAAAACACATGAGTTTTGTAGTATCACTAATAATTTTTAAAGCAATTTCTTCTTTGTATTGTTTCATTATTTTTTGTTTTGGTCACTCTTCTATTAATGTGAAGAGACATCATGGCCAAGGCAACTCTTAGAAAAGGAAGTATTTAATTGGGGACTTGCTTACAGTTCAGAGGTTTAGTCCATTATCATCATGGCAGGGATCATGGCAGCATGCAGGCAGACACGGTGCTGGAGAAGGAGCTGAACCCTCAAGCCACAGGGAGAGAGAGAGAGAGAGAGAGAGAGAGAGAGAGAGAGAGAGAGAGAGAGAGAGAGAGAGAGAAAGAGGTGGGGAGAGGGAGAGGGAGAGGGAGAG